AGATTGTTCTATCAAAGCCCTTTAATGTAATAGTATGACAATGATAATTAATGATGGCCATAGAGTTTTTTTTTTTTTTTTTTTGATAAGCAAAATTACCTTTCATCGTGAAAGTTAAGATCAAAAAATAAAAATAAAAATGATGTATCAAGATCCTAACTCTTATTTACTGAGTTAAATAAGCAGTTAATTTTAGATTGTTCTATCAAAGCCCTTTAATGTAATAGTATGACAATGATAATTAATGATGGCCATGGAGTTTTTTTTTTTTTTTTTTTGAATAATGGTAATTTTAAAGGAAAGGGAAAGGGAATGAGTACAACTTATAGGTTATGAGAAGCACCTATAACCCATAAACTAAGTGTAAATATTCAAATAATTGATAGGATTCAAAACTCCCTATTAATTAGAGTCAAGACTAAGACTTTAGAAAGAAATATAAGACCAAAGGGCTGGTTCGGCTATATAGAAGGTTAAACCCCTATTTGGTTCCTCAACTATTGTAGGGACCTTCAATTGAGTCTCTCAATTCAAAAAATCACTGATATGGTTCTTATTGTTTACAATTTTGGCCTCAACTTGGTCCTTCCATTAAATTGTCCACATTAATTGATCGAAAAAGCATTATGTGTCTAAAATTTTCACACGAAATATTGACAATTGGACAAAAATAAATGGCATGGCCAACAATTTTATCCATGTAATTCCAACTTATCCCACCCAAAAAAATTCCCCTTTTTAGCTTTTTTTTCCCCCTCTCTTTCCTTTTTACATTTCTCTTTCCTCTTCCTTTTCTTCAACTTCTACAAACCTAGCATATCTACTAGGTTCTGTAAATCTGTTGGGCTCTCAAACCTAGCAAATCTATTAGTTTCTCTCTCTCTCTCTCTCTCTCTCTCTCTCTCTCTCTCTCTCTCTCTCATTCCTTTTTTCCTCTCTTTCCTCTTCCCTTTCAACTTGTGTTGGGTTCAAGAACCCAACAACCATTGGGTTTGACGGAACCTAATAGCTTTGCTGGGTTCTCGAACTCAGTAACCGTTGGTTTTGATGGAACCCAATAACTTTGTTGGGTTTTTTCAAACCCAACAGATTTGTTGGATTTTGATTCATCTAGGTTTTTTTTCTTCTAACTATTGATTTTTGGTCTTTGTTTTAGGTGCTTTAGTTGTGTTTTCATAGAAATTTGGGAGAAGATACCTTGATTTTTTTGGGTTTTTTGGAAGGTTGAGAGGGCTAGTGACTATTTTAGGGAGATTTTGGGTTTATGTTTGTGTTATGCTTGGATTTGATATTAGAAGGTGTCTAGGTTTGCAAAGAGTGAAAGGAAAGGAAGAGGAAGAAGAAAGGGAAAAA